CTGTTTCAGTTCACTGAAGGAGAGGGGAGCAAAGAGAAGGTAAGGGGACCCGATGCCAGTATTCTTCCTGCTTTTTATTGCTTTACTCTCCATAACTTTTTTTGCCACTTGCTATTTTTTGTGTTTGAATTTCAGCTAATCCCTCCATGTTCTTATGATTAATGTTGTGGTCTTGGAAGATTTGTTGAACTTACACCTAAAAGTGTTAACTGCACTTTTGCTACACTAAGCTATTTTAATATCCAGCAGAAGACAGACCGTCTCACTTGCTACAGCATCAGCATACTTGCTGCTGCCTATTTGGTTCTTCCTTACCTGTAGTGTTATGGACCGATTCATTTATTTGGGTTTTTTTTTATTGATTTTCTTCAGAAAGGTCACAGTTGCTTCCACGTATCAGTAGCAGAGAGAAAGTAAAAGATACTTTTGCACCTTGATCTTGAGCTGGAATGGATGTTTCTATTTAGAAAGTAAATTAACTGAAAGAAAGTGAAGAAAAGGAAAGAATAAACACCAGTACAGAAGGGGCTGTGGGTGACTGTCTGTGTTTAAACATGGCTCCTGAGAAAAAGGGTCTTGTGAATTCCCCAAGTGTGCAAAGCAGGATGTTGTCTGAAGTAAGCTGTTTGCTCAGTCAGGGATGTCAATACCTGACTTTAAATGTTATCAGAGAGACACAAATTAAAGGAAAGTGCAGAGCAGGAAGAATTTATGATGAATTCCCAGAAGACAAGTTTAATCAGGATCATTATGTACTTTTACACAATGACTAAGTACAATGAGGTAGATGAAGGTTACTCAAAACACAGGTATTTGCTTTTAAGGATCTCGGCAGCTTACGAGGTAGTATTTCAGTTAAGGTACTAGCGACTTGGTTTTGCTTTTCGGTACTCTAAAAGCTCCTGGGGGAAAAACAAAAAAGAAAAGTAGGAGCATGGCAAAAAGCATTTTAACTTTAATAAGACTGTACTGAGAGATGTGGACTTTTTCTTCACTGTAACTTAAAGGGTGATCTTTGTTAGGAAAATAGCTTTGCTCAAAGATAAATTTACTGTATAAATTAGCCTTTATGGCTTAGTAGGTAGTAAGTCATAGATATAATAGTATTTTGGTTTTTACCTTGTGCTAAAAGAGGTTGCACCCTCCAAGGAAGCAGAAAGTAGTTCACTGAGAGTCTAGTTAATGTTTCATGGTCACTGCTGTTGCAGTCGGAAGAAAAAGGACACCCTAACCCTGTTCCCTGAATCAGTTTTACTCATGACTGCAAATACTTTACCGATATTTTGTTCCTATGGGTCATGTTTGCCTCTAGTTTGTTCAGAATTTATTACCTGGTTTCCTCTGAATTTATTTCAGTTGACCCATTTCTTTATTATAGGACACTTCAGAGATGATCATATAGAATATGAAAGAAATGCAAACAAGAAGGAAATAGACCCTCCTAACTAGAGTTAAGAAGAGCTGTTCATAGACCTGCTGGGTAAATATGTATTATGCCAGTTTCAGCTCACATTACGTTGTTCTTGTAAAAATGAAGTGAAAACCACTTGGAAATAAAATATAAATTAAAGCCAGGTGAGTTTAAAAAAAAAAAGAAATCTGTTATTAGATTTCAGAATTATAGTTTCACCTTCCTCCTGTGCGTATCTTGACAGGTACATAGCAATTTGCAACATACTTCCTCCTTAAACAATTGGTGGTTTATTTAAAGTTCAAGTTGTTAACAATTGATTGTAGACAGAAGCGTCAGAAGTAGATTTTCATCCTCTCCCTAGACAAAGTTAACACTGATATTTCTGATATGACTGTATTTCCAATTTGCATAGCCCAAGATTTTACTGATGAAGTTCATATGGGGTTTAACCTATCTCTTGGAGGTGATCCTATATTCTGATATGCCAATGCTACTTTGGGCTAGAGCTTGTCCTACTCTATTTGAAGTTTGTTTTTTTTCAGTTCTACAACTAACCTTGGCAAGTTACATCCTTTCTTTGTGCCCTCTTGCCAGTTTTCTAAGATGCTATCTTATTTCTAAGCTACTTTGAGATCTCTGGAATACAAAGTTCTATATTAGAGTCAGAACATCTGTTTTTATACAAATCAGTGATCTCTTTGAATGGAGAAGGCTGTGTAGGCTATGTTGTTAGGTAACTGCTGTCTTTCTTAGTGTGTCGCCAAGCTGTTTTTTTGGTATGCTGTTTTCGCTTAAGGCCTTCATATTCTATGGGCAAGCTCTTTCAAACGTGGATAAATGCTTAGATTCTCTGTTTCCAGGTCTAACCAGGAAAAGCATAGATTGCAACAAGTAACATTAAAAGAAAAATTATTTTGACTTTGCTAAAAGACTTACCATGGAACAGATTTGAAGTGGTGCTTTTTAGATCGGGGGGGGAAGGAATGGGACTTGTCTCTGCCTCTCCATCTGTAGCATTTTTTGTCAGGGCAGTATCTGTCAATAGTAGTTGAAACACTGTTATTTAAATACTGTGTACAAGCAATACTTCCTATTTCTGAGAGAAGAAACAGCTGAAGAAGTTAAACATATTTACAGAGTGAAGGAGGTAAAAATTACTGTTAACAAATCTGTAAGTAACCTGTAAGTATATATCTTTCTTTACGGGTACATTTGCAAAATAATAGAGAGGTTCCTCTTTCAACAATCTTTCACTATTTCTGGCTGGGGTTCCTTCCACCCCCCAAAGACCTTTTCACTTTTTGTAGGTGCTCAGAAGGTTCTTTGAGAAATAAATTATTTGGATCTTCTTATGGACATCCATTTCATGGATGGGTTTAGTTTTGATGCGATTCCTTAGAATAGAGAAGTATGGGCTTTTTTTTTCTCTCCATGAATATGCACCTTTTTTCTCCATTTTCTGAGGGAAAAAGACACCACCTTTCCATAGTCGGAAACACACTGACCCCGCTCTGCCTGATTTAGTCCAGAAACTTGAATGTATCCCAGTCCCCCAGTGAACCACTGGCAGTAGTTTACCATTTTGGGCTAATATGTATTAATTCAAAGTAAATGAAAGAGCTCCCACAAGCGAAATCAGGATAGGCAGCAGTGGTTAGATGCAGTCTTCTATGTTCAGAGACTTGAGTTCTTACCCTGAGTCAGCAGAGAAGTTTTGTTTGTTCTAAAAGAATGTACTGGACATGGAGATATTTGCTATTTGATGTTGAATTTGCTGCTGAAACAATTTTTAAATTTTATATGTTACTATCAGGTTAGCATAAAGCTTTAATCTCTGTTGTTGCAAATGTCTGTTTACCTAAGTTGGAAAGAGTTTCCCACTGCAACCAGCAATCCTATTACTTTATTTGCTCTTTTTGAATAAACAAATGCCCAATGATACGTTGGATATTTCTGTTTAAGAGCTTTTCTTGCCAGTAGTTGGGGCTTTTGCCTATAATGTTTGCTGTGAAATCAGCATGGCATTTTAAAAATCAGCATTTTACAACCAAGTTCACTTTAAAATGTTTAACAAATTGCAATGACACACCTTTTCAATTCAGTTATTTCATCTTCTCATCCTATTTAAATCAATGTTTTAAAGATCTGTGTGATTGTAGTCATAACTTAACTTCATTTAAACGTAGCCTGGTGCTATGGAATTGCTTCAGATGTTCTTTGTATAATGCTAATTCTCTACTGGACACCTCGAATTTATAAAGGTGAGAGTGTTTACTGACAAAAAAAATTACTTTAAGATTTTTTTGGTAGTACAAAGACAACTGAATTAATCCCTCAGCATTATAGGTAGTGAAAAGCTGTTGGATCCATGGAAAGTGGCTGGCTTTAATGTGAGAAGGAGGGAAAAATACATGTGGGTAAAATACGGAAGTTCACAAATCTTTCAGCTTCTAGAAACTTAAGAAAACAACACGTTGGATGATTGTTTTGTTCATCTAAAAGGCCAGATACACTACTGGATATGGCAATTATATTACCAAAACCACTCCTCACAAAAATCTCTTTTCTGGGAGGAGGGAAAGAGAGAGGAAGATGTTAGAAAAATGTAGGTTTGCACACCATTAACTACATAAGCATCCCTCTCCCTGTGCTACAGATGGAGAAGTAGGGTGCAGAGGGGTTAATTGGTTTAATGGCTCCGCCTAGGAGCACAACCGGTTCTCCTCAGAGGACTACAGGATACAGAATACCAAAGAGCCATCTATTTTAGTATATTTGCTTTATTGAAGGATTTTTTTTTTTCCTGGCTCGTGGCTATTGACAGAAATTAAACTTTAAAGTGATGCAAAAGCAGCAGCCAGATGCTAAGCTTAGCTGTGCAGCAGGTGCGAGGAGCAGGTGGCCTGCCAGGTTCTTTGTAGAAAAGCAAATTAATTATAGTTTCAGCTCTGCTTGTACCAGGATGGGGAGTCAACGTGGACTATAACCTGGCCCTGCCTGGCTACAAGAAGAAGCCCCGGGGTCACTTTTGCGAACAGACTGTAGAAGGATAATGGAAAAATACACTACCCCCGTTTCTTTAAGACGGCCTGTTAGAAAGCTGCCTGGGGTGCCGGGCGGCAGACCGCGCCCCACACGGTGTCCCTGAGGAGAAGCCCGCGGGTCGGGGCGCAGTGGAGGGGAGGAGGCAGGGCGGGGGG